GCCATGGCCCCTGGCCGGGCGGGAGGGAGGAGAGCAGAGTCCCCTTCGGTTCCTTCTCCAGTGAACGCGGACCAACAGTCAGAGGTGAGCGCGGCGACTGCAACCGGCACGACTCGCGCCGGGAGCTGCAGGCACGCCGCGCGCTCCTGCCTTCCTGAGGGCGGGGCCACGGCCTCCGTACTGACGGCCCTGCTGATTGACAGCCCTTTCACCCAATAAGCACCGCGCACCCAGAGGCGGGCCTCCTTTGGTCTGAGAGACGGACGTATTACCAACCGACCTCCAACTGGCGCGCTTGGGGGCGGCTGCTTTACGCAGCGGGCGCTCTGGGTCGCTGCCCGCGTGTCATTTAAATGAACTCTTGCCCGCGGCCGGCGGAACCCTGCTCCCCAGAGGCCGGTTACCGAGCACAGGGCGTCGTAGTCGGGGAAGGTCGCCAGCTCGGCAAACCCCGTGTCCAAGGGCCACCTGACAGCGCACACGATCGATCCAAGGAAGGAAAAATAACCCGTGGAAAGTTTCAGAAAGAATGATAAGAAATTGGATAAGCAAACTCCTGCGTGAAGATAATGCAAGGTTTAAAAAGACGACAAAAATTTAGCCCCAGGCCGGCATGCTCAGTGGTAGAGCATGGACCTATGAACCAGGAGGTCACAGTTAAGTTCGGGGTCAGGGCACATGCTCGGGTGGAGGGCTCCATCCCCAGTGGGAGTGTGCAGGAGGCAGCCAATCAGTGATTCTCTCTTATCATTGGTCTCTCTCTCTCTCTCTCTCTCTCTCTCTCTCTCTCTCGCTTTCTCTCTTCCTCTCTGAAATCAATAAAGCAATAAAATAAAATAAAAAGAATTTGAGGACTCCAGACACCTGCATGGGTTCTGGTGCCGTTTCCACCACCAACTCTGTGAGTCACTGTCCCTCTCCTGGCACCTGTTGACTCATCCAGACAACACAGTAGCTTACCTAGTTTTCTCTTCTGAAGTTTTTGTACCCTTTAAGTTAATAGATGCGAGAATCTATGATGTATTCATGAAGGGTCGTTACCAGTGTCTATTAAAGTTATAACTGCACATAATACCTTTGATCCAGCAGTTTCAATTCTAGAACTTTATCCTACAGATGTCATCACCAGCCTGAGTGGAAAATAATACATTATTTATTGCTGTGCTGTTTATAATATCAACATATTGGAAACAAATGTTTATCTATTATGATAAAAATAAATTGATATATTTATATAATAAGCTACCAAGCAACTGTAAAAAAGGATGAGAAATCATTGATGTAATTATATTGCTAATAGTTACAGTTCTAAATGCTTTACCATATTAACTTATTTAATTCTCATGAAACCTTTTGAGTTAGGATTCTTTCCACAGCATATATATAAGGAATATAAGGCACAGAATGATTAAATGACCTGTTGAAGGTTACAGGCAGTGTAGAGCGGAGCAGTATATGCATCCAATCTGCTCCAGAGACCACCAGGTTATGTGCCTGTGATGTTTGTTCAGAAAAGTGAGCAAGCTTCAGAACTGTATGTGTAGAATACTATTTGTTGTAAGAGGGGGAACTATATGCAACAGCATATTTCTGGAACTGTTACTATTGATTGCCTCTGGGAAAGGAATGAAATGCTTAGAGGATGCAAGATTTTTCAGTGTATTGCCTTTTTGTTCTTTTAACATTTGGAAATAAAGAATATTTTAAAACATTTTAATGTATCACATACTTTTTAAAAAGTAACTGCTGATGGGGCAACCATTGTGTGTGTGTGTGTGTGTGTGTGTGTGTTTTGGTGCAACAATTTTGGAAAAGAGTTTTACCTTAACTGATAAAGCCAAATATTAATACATGTGCCATAATCACACTGTGAAATATTTTTTATCTGTGAAAATGAATTATAGGTTTAAGAACCAATATGGATAACATGACAAGCAAATGTTGGAAATAAGAAGCAAATTATAGAATAATTCATAAGCTAAGATGCCAATTATCTATAATTCACCACTAGGCAAAACTATAGTATATTGATATACATAAATAATTAAAACTTTTAAAAATATTTTTTTATTGATTTCAGTGAGGAAGGGAGAGAGAGGTAGAAACATCAATGAGAAAGAATCATTGATTGGCTGCCTCCTGCATGCACCCTACTAGAGGTTGAGCACTCAACCAAGGCATGTGCTCTAGACTGGAATCGAACCCTGGACCCTTCAGTCTGCAGGCTGACACTCTATCCACTGAGCCAAACCAGCTAGGGCAATGATAAAAACTTTTTAAAGTCTGGTCAGGGTGGTTCAGTGGTTGACCATCTGCCTATGAACCAGGAAGTCACGGTTTGATTCCAGGTCAGGGCACATGCCTGGGTGGAGGGCTCCATTCCTAGTGGGGGCATGCAGGAGGCAGCTGATCCCTGATTCTCTCTCATCATTGATGTTTCTATTATTCTCTCCCTCTCCCTTCCTCTCTGAAATCAATAAGGGAATATTTTTTTAAAAAATGTTTTAAATGGTAAGAGTGAATGAATAACAAAATTTAGCGTAAGAAAAAAAAATTTAGCGTAAGGATTACTGGGCTATGTTAAATTCTGTTCCTTGAGCTGGGTGGTAGGTGTTACACGGTGTTCTTTAAACCATACACATATATTTTCCCACACTCTTTTGTAAGCTATATTTAAACAATAAAAAATGAATCATGCTATATTTCAGAATAAAAAATACAAAAAGAATAAATAAGGTTATGAAAAAGCAATAGATACAGGAACAAAAGACCTTTGGGTTTTGTCTGACCTTTGAATTTGCTCCCATTGATCTGTTTGGCCTTGAGGAAGTTATATAATATCTCTCTCTCTCTCCCTCCCTCCCTCTCTCTCTCTCTCTCAGAAATTTTGTTGTTGTTAATCCTCTCCCGATAATCTTCTTCCATTTATTTTTGTTTGTTTTGTTTTGTTTCAGAGAGAGACAGAGAAACATGGATGTGAGAGAGACACATCCAGTAGTTGCCTCCCGCACACGCCCTGACCAGGGCTGGGGATTGAGCCTGCAACTGAGGTATGTGCCCTTGACCAGATTCGAACCCGGCACCCTTCAGTCCACAGCCTGACGCTCTATCCACTGAGCCAAACCAGCTAGGGCTATCTAACCTCTTTCCATGCTAGTTTCTACTTCTATAAAATGAGGGTCATAATCTCTGCTTAGAATCTTGTGAAAGGATCATATGAAACCTCAACTACGAAACGTTGTTTGCAAAATGTTCAGCATATTGTACATGTGAAGGAACCACACATCACTAAAGGGAAACCAAAAACATTCTGTTCTACCTGTGGTCACCTCATCTGGGTTAATAAGTGACTAGAAAAGTTGCTCCTGGTTATTTCTTTGGACTTTTCCCTTTGGACTGTTCTCTCTCAGCATTTAGCACAATTTGTAATTATTTTTCTAAGTTTTTATTATCATGGCATTTTTAACTTAAAAAATATAATTTTTTATTGATTTCAGAGAGAAGGGAGGGGGCGAGAGATAGAAACATCAATGATGAGAGAGAATTATTCATCGGCTGCCTCCTGCACGCCCCCCACTGGGGATGGAGCCCACAACCTGGGCATGTGCCCTTGACCGGGATCGAACCCGGGACCCTTTTAGTCCGCAGGCCGATGCTCTATCCACCAGCCAAACTGGCTAGGGCTATTATCATGACTTTTTAAAAATAAGCATCCATATCAGTGTGGGCAGTGAGGGTGGGAGAAGAGGGGAGGGGAAGGGAGGAGGGCATGGAGTAGGAATTCTCCTCTATTGGTAGTAAAGCTCCAGGTTCATTTCATTGAGGCTTTCATCTCCAATTTATAATTCCTTTTTTAAAAAAAATCCTCAGGATATTTTCCTATTGGTTTTTAGAGAGGAAGAGACACACAGAGAGAAACATAAGTGTGAGATAGACACATTGATTGGTTGCCTCCTGCATGCACCCCGCCCAGGGTTGGGAGCCTGCAACCAAGGTACATGCCCTTGACCAGAATCGAACCTGGGACCCTTCAGTCCACAGGCCGACACTCTATCCACTGAGCCAAACCGGCCAGGGCCAATTTGTAATTCTTTATCCATGTAATTACACCATGACTATCTGTTTGCCTCACTAGTCTGTCAGCACCACAGGTCAGGGACTGGCCCTTTTTCTCCACCCTGGTTTCCCTAGCACTTCACATGGCAATAACATTTGTTGAATAAATACAGCATCTTATACAATACACGTTGCTGAGCACATATGATGAGCCAAGGGCAAGGTGCTGAGCATTTCATACTTATGTACCTCCTTGTAGCAGCCACAGGAGATTAGTATTATTATTTCCATTTTACAGATGAGAAAACTGAGGTTCCAGGTGGCTTAAGTCTTGTACAATGTCACCATCTGGGAATCAACCTGTGAAAATGCAGACCCAGGTCTGTTTGAACTGAAGGCTGCTGTTCTACCCTACATCCTGGGGGCCCACTGGCTGATTTCAATAACCCGCACCATGCCGCCTGAGGAAGCAGGACTCTTTTAGGGGAAGGCTTTTATTCATATAGTTCCCTATTGCTTCTACTTGGAAGCAATCAATGTTCACTTGGGCCAGTGCAAAACAAGTCATGACTTTGTCTTGGCTGGTGACCAACCCACTGGCACAGAACAAGTTCATGTGCAGCCAGTTCACAGGGGACTCTTGAGGGTGATTTTTGTGACAGTATCATGGACATTTGAAAGCATCCATTTTAAAAAAATATTTTTCTTGCCCTAGCTGGTTTGGCTCAGTGGATAGAGCATAGCCCTTCGGACTGAAGGGTCCTGGGTTTGATTCCGGTCAAGGGCACATGCCTGGGTTGCGGGCTTGATC